GTCACGAGCAGAATAGGCAAGCCTTAATGGCATTAAGGATAGTCCATCCTTGTTATAGTGCAGTAGCGTTACAAAGCTAGAAGCACCGCGTGACGTGCCCAACGTGCGGTGCAGTAAAGATCGATGGGCTTTCGGCGAGTGATCATTATTAAAGCTGCCAAGTCCGTCGTAAAAATGTTAGTCGTATCTCACTACTCCAACAAAAGCTACGAATGTTTTCCTTGAGGAATTGATGAAAGAAAGTGAGAATACCAAGTCAGTTATTTAAGCACTAAAGAAGGAGATAGCATCGCTATCTTTAAAATGTATGATCCCGTAATCGAGGACATCAAACAAGCTAACTGCTTCATTTAGTAGATGAAGGAACTTATAACGGCGGTTTGACGAGAGACGACCACGTATATCATTCCCATATTAAGAAGTGCGTCAAGGGATTGATTTGGTTCCTGAAACGAAAAATCACGTCACGCTTTATGGCTCTTAGTAAGAGAACATTTTGATGTCGTCGACGGTATCATTATGCAAAACTCGAAACGAATCTCGTGAATTTTTCTACTCGGTGCCGATGATCTGTGTCAGTAGACTTATTACAGAAGTTGCAATCGTGCATGCTGATTATAATCTGTGTTTAATTGCCGTTTTGGCGACACACCGACTCTAGAAAAACTTTATTGTAGAATAGTAGGATCGGCTGCAATATGTTCAGTGCCCTTGGCGTGGCTTATGGCTAAATCATCCATTGCTCGTCAGAGACGGTAATGTACCGCTCCCTGCAATGGATTCTCCAAGCGAGATGATATTATATTGGCGAAGTATGACCAATAGATTGTCCAGCGCACCAGCGACGATTGGTACAGCTGATAAAGCCACATCATGCATATATTACGATGATATATTTGCTTAAAATTTTGCAGAGCACGAGGTGTCGGATGCGAATATCAACAGAAAACACTTGTAAACAGTGTTCATTTGTATGCGCTCAAATAGACTGCGTGCCGGTATAGAAAAGTGTGTCTTAAGCGCCGGTGAAATCATTGTGGGAATACTTAACTGAAAGGATAGTTTGCGGGCTGACCATCTGAAGATTTAGTCCATTTTATATTGGTCAGTACCACTGTCTGGAAGAAATATGAACAGCGGCTTTGCCTACTCCTCGCTCAAGTTTAGTGCATACTACACTCAGATGGTATCACCCCTCACCAATCTCTTTGATGAGGATGGATCCCTAATATGTGCCCCAATTCTGGCCCTTTCAGATTAAATTTACAGTTTAATATCGTCTGTGACGCTTCGGCCTTTGCCATAAGCTGTGCGTTTTTTTGAAGCACCATTGCATCTTAATCGCGCTAATTTAGAGCAGCTAAAAAGAAATTTATCTTTATGACTAGAAGTTGCCTGCTATGATGCGTGCTTTCGTCAAGTTTAGAGTAAACCTGATGCTAGAAGAGTATGAAAAAATAATACGGCTTCATTGCGAAGTTACTGATAAGATAAGGTTAACTCGGGTCAGCTCAATGATGTGGTAGATACGCTTTTCCGATGCAAAGACTACAAAATGTCGCATATCACAATGGTGATGTCACGCAACGCTGAGGCGATACGTTGAGCGTATGCATTAGACGCAGCATATGCTGCGCTGTGAAAGTTCGGGGAGCAACCTCTTTATAAGGTTCGATGTCGTTTCATCTAAACGCCTAATAGCGCGTTTGCACTGTAACTTCACTAGCTGTATAGAAGCACAAAGTACATGGTGGTAATTAGTGATGCGAACATTATGGGCAGAATAATGTGTGATGCGTACAACGCTACTTTACAAGTTGTTTTTCGCAGAGCAAAACGTACGGCCCAGCAAGCGCTATAAAACCGCATGGTAAGCACTCATATACAGACTTGTAAAGCGTGTCAATGAAACCTACCTTTGTCACATGTTTCGGCTCTCTTAATCAATCTGTCATCTCCAACACAATATTGGCAGTCCACAAGTATAAAATTTATTTTTGGTCTTTTATAAGGACGCGTTCGATAATATATGCATTGTAGTCTTTGTGGATTGTTTGAGCAAGATGGCATAGTATGCTGTTGTTAGCAATACTTTGACCGGTGAAGATACAATCAAGCAGTTTCTTGCTCTACAGTATAGTCTCTGTATTCATTCTTGTAGTACTGGACACCATATTGGACATACCAACCGCTAGTTATCCGCAGACGAATGGACAGACGGAACGAACTAACGGTGTGTATTTCAATGCACTTGCACGGAGCATTCGCTGTGTTGGAGTAGCACTCATTAAATAGCTTAGTACACATCTCAACAGTCATTACTTCATTCTGTATTGTTGATTGAGGTAGACCCTGTACGTCTTCGAGTATCACAAGATGACTCCAATCTTTGTACAGGTGTCCTCAATACAATTTGACTTGCTGACATCAGCCTGGCTACTCTGGGCGAATTCGAGAACATGATTTCAACTTGATTGATCATCATGCGTCAAGCGCGCAGCACTTTTTTTGACACTAGAATATACAGAAGAAATATGCAGATGTCAGAGACAAACGAGAAACCATAATACTGGTCATAGCCTTATTAAGCGTATTCAACCTATCTACACATATAGTGTCTGTAGTCTAAGACCTCGCTAAATCGGACTGTTTCCAACCGTAACAGAAATTACTTTGTGAGCATGGATTATTCCAGTTAGAATGCGAGCACATCATGGATTGAGGTAGGCATATATAAGTCATATCACGATTTTATTCCCACGAACCAATCAGAAGTGAAGCGCTGTATTACGAACAAATTGACGTCTCAATCATCTGAATTCTTCTCCAAGAATATACCGTTTCGGTTCCAAGTCGTTTGAGACACCCCAATCCAATTAACCCAATTGTGCAGCCAGGAGAAATCATCTGAGAGGGAAGTCACGTCAAATTCGATCGCACGCAATCTCTCGGGGAAAGTCGACGCGTTGCCGCAACCAATAAATTTCTCGGAGGACAGAAAGGTTATTTGTCGCAGCTAAATGTGTGAGTAGGAATTTATCCTTTTGATTTCTCGTGTACCTCATAAACCGTATCATGAAGAGAAGCGGAGTTGATAAATAGCTGAATAGGTTGGGTTATACCTTGACGCCCCCTTCGTGCTTTGTACGTTGCAAAGTCGAGCAGTAACCGAGTCTAAATGGCTATTTGCTTCACTGAAGCTGGCCTGTTTAGATATAAAAGGGAGTAGCAACGCTCTGGTGTGATGACACAAAGGTGTGGCTACACATAAACAACATGTCAGTACGTGGCTCAAATAGCCAGTTGTTATACGTTTCATTAGGTTTTCCTGTATAGATGGGAAAATCCATAGATTTAGATAAAGGCGGCTTTGCCGCAGATCAAAGAGATATATACAGCATATATACAGAAGCATCAATTAGACTCGGGTTAAGATTGTAGTTTCTCCTGGAGTAAGTGGATTGCGATCCGCTACACTCGTACTTGTTGTAAGTATAGGACGAAGGTCCCCTACCTTAACTAAGCTTCCTTTAAACGAAAGAGCTACGGCAGCCCCGCTGTATAGGGGCTGAAACGAGAGCCATTTAGATGACAGGAGAAGTCTTGGTTTTGTTTCTGGGTGGCGCGTACGAACTCGGCGTCTGTGCGGTGATAATACTAGTGAATAGAGACCAATAACACTTAGTGCCATCAAGTGCACGACAACCTCGTTGCACTGAGTAACGCTTAAAGTTAATCCGACAAATGAGTCGATCACGAATATTTATTGAAGGTAAAACACATGAAGCTCGATAATCTGCACCCAGAAAAATCGTACACGTTTGCAAAGCCCGTGTCCGTATTTTTTTGCAAAATAATTGGCGACCTAAGAACTGAAAGAGATTCTCTTCCGCTATCTTGTGTGACCCCGTTACACCCTACGTGGAGCGCACGTACCAATCTATTCCGCTGACTCATTGAGTTAAAGATTTCTCTGTTCAGGGTGTGCAGCGACCCTGTTGCACCTGATACCACTTGCCGTCAATTTGATCATAGTCTCACCAACACGATATCCTATGTAGGAATGGAACACGAACCCTTAAATTGAGCGTCCATGGGGCAACATGACAATTTAAGCGACGACATAAGGACTCAAAGTGGTAGACGATATCCTGAGAAAGTCACCAGCAATAAAAGTGCTATAGTGACACGTGACACACCTTCACTAGGCGTCAACCTTGCGTCTGGAATAGCACGACCCACTCTAACAGTGATGTCGCTTATACATAGCGTCCATTCTTTTTAAAAAGGTGTTACTGATTTTATTCGTTCCTCTGTGTCCATTTTCTATACATCTCGACTCACCAATACGTAGCACTCACCAAAATCTCGTTTCTTTTCTGAGGTGGTCTATAGTACATCGTTGTTAGCCTCACGTCAAGCTATCAGTATAGTTGTACTATTGTTAGTAATAAAGATTTTATATGTTTATTATTAGTTAAGATATAATTGACTGTAGACGTATGTCACTCCTGAAAAGAGAGCAAGCAAAGCTCTTAATGACTTATAAAGCGCGCGGCTATGCTCCTGGGTGGAACTTACGGAAGTATTCACGTGGACTGTTCAAATAAAAAAACTGTACAAGATGCACAGCAAACCCGTTGTAGCTATATCTTTGGTTTTGCAGCGTAGCAACAAAGCCGAGGGATGGATTGATTAATCTCATATCTAAGGTAGCTAATCACATGCAATTTGAAACATACCACTCTTTTGATTTTTAACAGTGGTTCTTTCATATTTTAGGGTTACGTAAAACTCATCTTCCTGTCGTTGTTTACGCGACTCTACGAGGCAAAAGCCTTTTTCTTATGTGCTAGGTGCCTTGACTCATGCTATTGTAACGGGGTAGTCTGAAGTTAGCTTTATATCAGCTTGTAAAGACTGACTGATGGTAAATAATCTTGATTTTCAGCCTAAATGTTGCAAAAGTTGCCTCCACGTTAAATGTCAAATATGAAATTTCCGGAGACAAGAACTTTACGTCTTTGCAATTACTAATAGGTCTTTCGGTCCGACCCGTCACAAAACCCACCCGCCCACCACAAATTTCGCTTATGAGGTGAGAGTGAATGTCGCAGGGCCTTTGCAGGCTGGCTAGTTTCGCATTGGTTGCTGCCTGAAGGTCCTGTGTCTGAAGCTCTCTCAGTGTGTGATGCCGCCGAGCGTAGTACCGTCCCTTCAACCACAAGATGAGTCCCCACCATCCTTGAATCCTTCTTGCTGTATTAAGCCGTCAATGAGTCTTCCCCCGCGTCCAACAACAGCCAGTGTAAACCCTTTCAAGAATGCTGCAGCAATCACGCGTGCTCGTACTCACAGCTTTCCGACCGTCAACGAACAGATTCTGGGAAAATCGAGCTTATGGATGCAGAAAGCCGTAGACCGCGGGATTTTCCGTCGCTTTGAAGAGGTCAGTAATGAAGTCGATAGTCTCAGGCGTATCCAAAATCTGGACTTACCCTCTTTGGAGGCGAAAGTCGTGGCCGAAGTCGGGTCAGAGCTTGCATTAAAGCAGGCAAATCTTGGTCAAACAAGGCACCAATCCTTTCGCATACGTGAAGTTCGAAACCACATAAATAAGCAGTTTGAGGCCCAGCAGGATCGCAGTGCGCTTAAGGAGTACCTAGCCATTGCAACGGGATCTGCTGAACATCAGGAAAACGAGACCGACGAACTCAAGGAGAAACCTGGGTATCAAAGTGTTTGTAGTCAGTCTGAACACGAAAATCAAGTGGAGCAAAGCGTTACTTGTGCACAGCTCGGAGACTTATGTGCTACGAATGATAAAAACACAGATATCGTGGACCGTCTTGAGCAGCTTGAAAGAGAAAAGCAAAGGCTTTTAGGTGTTTTGGTCAGAACACTTCGTCTTCCTGATGCACTGCAGATGCATACAAATGTAGCCATGTATTCATCCGAGGTGCAATCATGCAAGTCCATCAAAAAACAGGTTGATCGCGCTGCAGCTCTTTACTACCAGGCTTTGCAGCTGCTGCGCATGGCCATGACTACTGTGGTATCATCCCAGTACTCAGGTTCTGTGAGAGAATTTGCCAACGGCCCGTATGCTTTTACGGTGGAAGCTGGTCAACTCATGCAGGCTGCAGTCATTGGCATTCAGCCTGAGGCCCGCCGCCGTTATAGGCAATTTGCTTCGGAGCTGCAAAAGCTGCGCCTTCCAAAGTTTCATCAAGTAGTAAGCGATTTTGTGCGTCGCGCACAGACTAACTTTAACCCGCGCAGTGCGCTTGCTCAAGAAGCTGCCAGAAGGCTTCCGGCGTGTGAGACTACAATGGTCATGACTCATAAGCTCGTGATTGAGAAGCTGGAATTGCTGGATCGATGGAAACTCACGTTAGAACTGGACCAAGCTCACGCACAGATCTCACAGCGTCGTCTCGAGACTCATCTACAGCAGCGCTTGGCTTTATTGGCTCGATCTGTGTCGGTCTGAAGCAAATATGCATGTCGCACAATTACTCAAGTACGACGCAGTGAGTTATTTTTCTGTTAATCTAGTAAACTTTGTATAATCTATATGTCAAGAAAATTAAACATCAATGTGGAGAAAAAGAAAAACTTCGGAAACTTGAGCTGTCTAGATTTAGTTCTGCCATGCAAGACAATGAATGCGAGAAGTCAAAGAGGATTATGCGTTTTCACCTATTCGGAGATCCAGTGGTAGAACTTTTTTCGTTCGAGATCGCAATAATGTTGATGAAGTTGCCGTGATAATAGTGTTCGCAGGTGATACATGTGGTGTTGTCCGTCTCATTTTCAATTAGTTATCAGGTTTACATTGAAGATCAAGTGCGAAGTAACTAGCACATGCAACAGCAACACCAACTTTGCGATGTGGGTCTGATTGCGGTTACCTTCTTTTGCTTTCATTTTTGTGGTTTGCTTCGGCGTTTGCTTTCCCATCAGCCGGTGATTTCTTATGAGTATCGGGCGGTTTCGACCCACAACAAATTGCATACCAAAGCAACTGACAAGTCAAACTTCCCGAAATGCTGCCACGTCTACCAACTAATTGAAAAGTCGAGATGTCACCGAGACATACAGTCAATAAAGCTACAAAGCCGCTTATGAAGTTCGTTTTCGTTTGGCGAAGTTGAGATAATCGGTTAGCGTTCCAATTAAAATTGTCCAAATAGTGGGTGAATAATTGCTTGTATTTTCAACTTACCCTACACGTGGCAGTATTTTCGAATTTTAAGGAGAAAATATGGCAATTCGGACGACGAAAGTCCACCAGCAGTCGTAAGTCTTTACTGACCACCAAGTACGACACAGTCTAAACGTCAATTGGTTCGACAGCTCGGAATTTCAGCAAACGCTGCGTCTTCAGTCTAGCCATATCTTCTCCGAACGTTTGACTTTTGAACCTGATTCTTTCGGGAATAAACCGTAACCTTTTTTTTGTTTCCTTAGAAGATAAGTCACTACAATCTCAAATGTCGCGTATTTGCAAGATGTATAGATTATCCTATATCACTTGCAGCTGGATGAGAAATTAGGAAGTGCCGCATAATAATCAAGAATGCACCTCAGGCAAATTCGAGTTTTCGTATTAGCTTTTAAGGACGACAAGTGGCAAACGCCATTTTCTCAGACACAAATACTTTTAAGCATCAAATTTGCTCATTTTCGTCTTGTTAGGACTCGGAGGTTTATGTTCAATCTTTGCGGCTGTTTTAGCTTACCGCACTTTCGTCTTGTTGTCAAAACCATCTGCTCTATGTATTTTGTGTATGTAGAGGTACAATCATGTGAAATACAAGTTCTTTGCTGTCCAGTTACGCTTCCACCGCATATTGCATCCAAATGATGATCCTCTCCGCCACTATTGCTTAAGATACTCAAAGGTCGCTGCTGCAGATAGACGTCCGCATTGCTTCTATTTCTGGCAAGCAGCAAAACCGCCCCTGAGACTTTCAAAGCACATATAAAACCATTTAGAGTCGTCTGAGAACACCCACTCGTCGATTCGCCGATCTCATTAAAACAGGCATCTTTGACCATGACTCGCCAAGGTTACCTCATTGTGCACGACAAGCACAGCCAACCTGTTGTGCGATATTTGTCACTTGAGGATGGTTTCTTGCGCCAGTACGCATCGGCCGATTGCACGAAATGCTTGGGCGAAGTGCGGCTCTCAGGTTGCAAGATCACTGTGAAAGCTCAGAAGCGCGCCGATGGCGTTCCAAATAGTTTTTACCTTGAAACCCGCACAGTTTTTGTCAAAGATAGGTCCTACACGCTAGGCAGTGCAGAGCGCACCGAGTTCAGCGCCTGCAGCGGTGATGATCGACAGAAGTGGGGAAAAGCGCTGTTTTCATGGCAACGCTACTACTGGCGTGATCCTGTGGCCACCTCACCCGAAAACAACGCAGTCGCCAGCGAAGCACGAGTGCAGCTTGAGCAGCTCATTGCTAAGCATTTTGTACAAAAAACTCCGAGTACACACTCAATCTCGTTTGCGGCCGCAAAGCAACCCATCTCATTTTTACGACGCAACGCACACACACTACGCCGCTCACTGTCGCTCACAATGACGTCTTCTGCCGCCAGCTCAGCCAAACCCGAGAGCGATACCGAGCCGACTGACTGTGCGAAGGATAAGGTGGCGCTTGACAATGTGGAGTGTCCTGAGACGACAAAAAATAACAATGTCAGTGATGATAAAGCTTTCTTCTTGCACACCCTGCCCTTTCGTGGGAATAACCAAAACTCACATTAGCAACTTGAATATAGAAATAAACTCTCACATTTTAATAAATTGATAATTGTGCAGATTATATGTAAATTTGACACTACGGCACCCTCGGTGAAAATTAAGCACAATTATACATCCTAATAATTCTGCCACAATATTATGGCTAAGTTTAACAACAAATCTTGAAAAAATACAAGTACAGATTTTGCGTCTGCCCAAAAAGTAGCAGACCTGCGCCAGCTGCATTGCAACAGAACGCGATTGTAGTGCAAGTTTTGTCACATTTCTGCATACTGTAATTTTGGCTGGGCGCTAATAGAGAAAAACGCACTCTCGTCAGAATACTAAATAATGTATGTTTTGTGGTGATCAGTACTCTACTACCATATAATGCGCTAAACAAACTTCCACATCATGCGTGTTACCTTTTTTTACCGTGCAAACCATTCGGCGAAAGAATGTAGCTTATTCTTTATGTATTGCTCAGCAAAGCTGATCAGTATTTTCTAATATCGTTTTATATGCTACGCGAAATAGCAGAATGTCAATGAAGTTCATTGTTGTGTCGTAATGTTGGTGAGAAGTTAAACTAGCTATCTCTGCAATCCCGGAGTTTCATGAGATAATACGGGTGGTCATAACATTCGCGCTTCAAAAGTATATCGACTGGTCGCTCCGAACGTGTCGAGAGAAGCTAAAACTTACACTTTTTTGTACGTCAACCATGTCCACTCAATCATTTCGGCGTCTTTCGTACGAGGAGTGGCGTTGAACTCTCAAGTACACCTGAAGATTCTCATCCAGTGTCAGCAAGCGCTTTGTGTAGATGCAGGTGCTCGCATTCAGTATCGCATGCCTCGGGAGTTCGAGAGTCAGATAAAGGGCGACTTGTCGCCTATGAGGGCTCAATCAGAGAGGTATGGCTGCATCGAGAAAAGTTTTCGAACCGTTTTGGAACTATAACAAATTCTAGGGAATATTCCAAAAGATGAATCACTTAAAAAAATTGACCAGAACGTGACAGGTTTTGTATAATACACCAGTGATCAATTCATCCAACGTAAACTACAAACTATTTTACCAAATGTAGCCAGCTTGAGATATGGCAAATCTGGCCATATTTAGTGTGCCGCTCGCATCTAGAGTACGGGCAAGACAAAGGACTCACAAAGCTCCAGGCAATGGACGCGACAGCCGATGTATCGAGCTTGGAGGAGAAGAGACTGGCAAGCGAGTGACATCAAGCTCATTGCTTTCCAGCACTGGAAGAGCGCTCGAGTGATCAGTCGAGGTGGTTTGTTTCGAAAGCTCGTGTGTGTGAGGATTCAGACTGGCTGCAAATGGTTCGTCAACGTTGCTCGGAGGGCTAGAGACTGACATGTGACGTGTAAAACTTGGAGCACATAAACTGCCAAGCTGGAGCAAAATCAAGTCGTAAACAGCTCAGTGCCTATCATGCTGTTCGATCTGCCATTGCATTCGACCCATCTCGCTAACCGAGAATGTATGTACCCATATATCAATCCCATTTAACTCATTCAGAGTGGCTACTAGCAGAGTGGCATAGACTATTCTACTAGGGTGCATGCATCTCTTCTGGTCAAACTTAACCCTGTTCGTCCCTCCTCAAACGTCGCCTTGCCTACAGTTGGCTACAGTCGGTAAAAAAATGTGTACTCTACGTTGGATGAATTGATCAATGGAGTTTTATACAAGACGTGTTACGTTCTGGTCGAATTTTCAAAGTGTGTCACCGTTTGAAATATTCCTTAAATTCCAGAACCACATAATGCATGCCACACCATAGGGTTAGACACTTCAGTTGTAGCCAACATAGGTAAATTGTTGAATTCATAAGTCTAATCTATGTAATTTGTCATCAGTCACATAATTTCCCTACATCAAATTCTTAAAATTTATCTTTAAGGTCTAACACTTGAGTTGGATGGCTGTGTTTACACAGAATAAGGACATGACATGATTAGTTGCTTATCGTTGATTCCAGATTTTCGTAAATTTTAAGCATCGACGCCACTACTTCTGCGTTTACGTTGACTCACCTCGTAGTCTACACGAGTGTTTGCTGAAGAACCATGGCGGAAAGTCCTTTTCGGAATTCTAACACTTGAGATTCGGGCATTTTCATGAGCTCAATTTACTAGGGTGACCTCGAGAAACCCGTCACATCAGGTCGCTTGCAAAGCTCAAAGTACACAGCACATTGTTCCTAGTGCGACGGTATGTCGCCACACCCCCACATTCGCTGAGCACACCAACGATCTCAAAGGTCATAGTTATGAGGTCCAGCGAACATTCCATTACTCAACGAAAATGCAGTTAACGTGTTCGGAGCTGCAGCTTGCCTCTCGTTTCATTTGAGACCTATTCCCTATTGTAGACATATTCAAAAACGGAATACCAGCACAACTTATGACTCATCGCCACACCAATACACATCTCTGTTGAATTTGTTGTAGCCGTTGCCGCTGTGAATGTGACGCTTGGGCATCATTATGTTCCGACTTATTTTGAACCAAAAATCATTTCAGCAATAGCTGATCCAGCTGGTATCATACGCAGTAATCTGTTGAACTCCCGTGAACTCCGTTAGTAGTAACCGCCATACCAAAACGAACAAGAGCACTAACTTGAAGATAAATCACGATCAACTCGCCTTGCTTCTTATCCGTTGTGGCTGTCGTTTACATTTATATACAGGTTTTTCAATATCGTTTCGCAACTATAGCTTACCCGATAAGGAGATCATTACCGTTTGCGTAACGCTCGACCAGGTATTTGAGAAGTGCAAGCAAGCATAACATTACCTTACCACCCTTTCCATGCTGACAGGTCCCAGAAACGAATGGGAGCCTTGTTCCCGACCGATAACATAACATCATATTCTGTATCGCTACACATGTTAAAGTCGACGCGTAAAGTCAGCCATGGTCATCCTGCTAAACTTGGATATTTGCTAGCTGTGTTTATCTGTATACGCTTCAATAGCTGCTCGCCAACTTAAAAGCTATAACGTTGGTGATAACGAGGTTTTATCTTGTACCGAAGTACAAAAGAGGTCCAGTATTTGATGTTTGCTTTAACTGTAATCAGAGAGACTCTGAGCACGTGGATCACGACACAATGCATACATTGCATGCCGAGATTGATCGCGAGGCTGTGAAACATTGTAAATTTCACAATATTTCTATGTAGCACTATCCCTTCATCAAGTTTGACCGAGTCATTTTTTTCTGGTATAGCACTATTGTAGGCCCCATGAGCGTAGCGTTGGTTAGTCACGTAAAGTCTGAGCCATCTAATGGCCTTATCGCCATCATACCTGCAACCTTTGCTGTGCTGTCGCTTGTGATGGTTGCTATATCACTGAATGTTGAGTTATCAGGATGTTGACTACCCACCCATCTTGACGGTCGAACTGGGCTGTCAAAATCTATCACTTACTCTAGTTTGCCGGCGTCCCATCTTTCCGCCTGGGATGCGTAGCACCAGATCTTGTAAAATACTTAACGAGCATGATTAAATGTCCTTCTCAACAAAATATCAGCACATATCTTCTGGTGCTTTCAATATGGTCAATGCGGTAATTTATACCCTATCAAAATCATTACTTAATAAAATCGTTTACCCTGGCATGCGTCTTGCTTGGATACCTGGCTGCAAGACGCCGGGCGTCGACCCTGATCCAGGGTGTGTCTACCGTAGACGATG